CCCCCCCCCCCCCACCCCCCGCCCCAGGAGGGACTCTAATGTTCGATGCCCGAAACGGGCAAAGCCTGAGCCGAAAACTTCAGTAGACTCGAAAGAGCCCAATGCCTCTAACGGCGACAGCATCCACCACTCGATGGACAGCGTTGCCGGCTCGTTTGGCTGAAGAGTGGAAGGCCGGAAGGAGCTCACCTGTTAAACAAGGTCGCATGCTCCAGGTCAGATCGCTGCTCAGAAGGTCATGTCAGGGGTTCAAGATTAAACTAGGGTTCGGTGGGGGTAGGGTTTATGCGGTTTGCAGTTCGTTTCGCTGCTTACGGAACTTGCTTCGAGTTACCACCACGAGGAAGTATTATGGAGATACCCCAAACCTTAAACCCTAAACTCCAACCCCTCAACCCTGGTAGAAACCGCGCATCTCTACATTGCTTCAACGAAAGCCTCCATCCAGTGCCAGACAGAGTAGCCATCTGCTGTAGCCACGGCCATCTCCTAAGATGCACTGAGGGTCTTGCGGGTTGGGCTTTCGGGGGTTGCATTTCTTGACAGCTCAAGGGGTTCGGGGTCTAGAGTTGTTGAGAATGCCGGTGTTTACGGTTTAAGGGTGCAGGGCTTAGCGGGCTTTTGAGTGTGGAAGTGGAAAAAGGGGATTCAGGGTGTATGGTTGCGGATTTAGAGAGTTTGTGGTTTGGGGGTATCAATGCCTTTTGGGACTGTTGAGGGCTGGGGTGAAGCGACCAAGTTGCCTACCTACACACCCTCTCCAAGTCACAGTCCAAATACCCGTCAGTCGACTTCAAAGCTCCAGGATTGAAGATACTTGCTGTTGGGATCGCCTCCCTTCTTCTTTCGCCGCGAATGGGTTGTTCTACATAAGGTTTGGGGTGAACTATGAGCCCTACACCCAAAACTCCAAGCTCAACAACCAAGACGCGAAAACGTCTCGCCAGGTGCTCACCAGCCACTTGCCGGCCTGAGCAAGGAGTGGCTTCGGGTTTTCGCGTGTTGGCTTAAAACGCCAGGACTTTGCATCAGCCGATCTATGAATGACACTCCATACTCTTCAACCAGCGTGCTCCGATCCCTCTCGTCGAGTGAATCTTTACAATCACATCGAACGGGGGAGTCGACTGTACAAATGTGCAGAACGCCCACTGTTCACGAAGTTCAAACTGCGGCCAGCACCTGCACGAAGTACGCGAGCACAGATCTGCATAACGCCACGGCACATTCCCACCGGTCCCTTGCCCTCGATCTGCCAGTGCGTCCAGCTGGCAATGGTAAAGGAAGGAATACTATGAAGGATTGGCAGCAATGTCTTTCAGCATGTGAAACCAGCATTCTGCTCTCCATTCACGAAGTTGCCCGACATGAACATCAGGGCAGCACGGAGCAGGACGGGTCCTAGGTTGTTTGGTATTGTTTGGTAGCCCCTTAATAATACGGGGGGGTACCTTTCTACTGTTCGAGTCGAATACGGAGACACGATTATAATGAGTTCAACACGGTGCTATATACTGGGAGACTGGCGTCTTGTACGAGCGGCCATCTGCAACCATCCCAGGACCGCTGTCCACGCAGAAGTTGATCGCTTTTCACAACGCCCTCGTCCAGTCTTTCCGGAGCAATCCTGACAGTGAAGTCACCGTCGACGTCGACTGCAAGCTCTGCAACCGTAGCTGAGCATCCGTATCCTCATGCGCAAGGGTCTCGTGTTTACGGCTTAGGGTCTGGGGACCGTCCTTCCAGAAGGAGTAGTGCTGGCAGCCGCGTACGGTCTTGCAGCGCTCTCTGCGCACGTCTACGTCTGCATTCTTCTCCCACGACCTGCCTTGGCCGTGCATGTCTGAATGTCCGTTGTTCTGCTTGTATAAGTTCTAAGTAGAGCAGGGATCATCCATTGTAGCACCGTTGCTGCCATCCAAGAAGTTCAGCTTCTTGCAGAACAGTGTAAAAGCTGCCGCTACACTGCAACGGCACTTGAAGTCTCAGGGAGGGGCGCCAATGACCCGGGGCCCACCGCAGAGCATGTTGTTGGTCCACGTGGCATCCACGGCTGCAGACATGCCCAAGCCAAGGGTGATCTTGATCTCGATTTTGCCAGGTCCCAGCGAGAGCGTTCCCCCGACGGAAACACCGGCAGGGACGCCAACAGAAGTCTTCAAGTTACAGCCGAGATCATTCTGGCTCATGAGCATTGCCAAGTCCAGGGTCGAGCCCGCAGCAGCTTGAAGCCAGTAGCCACAGCCCATGTGGATGTCTTATCCGGAAATTTCTTGGCCTCGGGTGGCGGTGGCGGTGACTCGCCAGCTCCACCAGCCGCCTCTTGGCGATAGGTTTGCCATCCTCGTTGTTGCGCTGTTTGAGGCTAAGAGCCGTGGAGAGCACGTTGCTGGCCTCCTTGGGGTCTGTCCGTCGCTGGCCCTTGGACTTGCCCGGCCGGTAGAATAAAGCTGGCAAAGTTCTCGTCGAAAGCGGTATAAAGCCGTTCACGGCGCCAAGAACTGAAGTCTTCGGCTGCACGAGCGGTGATGCGTCTTCACAGCATGCCAGGAAGCACATCCACCAACTCGGCAGTGTGACCGATGGAGGCATCCAGGATGTTAGTAAACGACTCCACATTGCAGCCGATCATCTCGCACGTTTTCTTCCCCGAGTGAAGAAGGACAGCTCCAAATCTGCGAGGCTGGCGTGGTTCTTCAAGGCCAGCTCCGTGCGCTGCGCTGCTCGGTGCAACTGCACCACAGCCGCCACGGCCTCACTCCAGCGTGCCGAAGTCCCCGAAGTTTCCTCATAGTTTGAATATGCAATGAAGGTCCGAGGTCCAACCTCGCGCCTCGGCCCTCTCCACCATCGCCTGGTCGGGTGCCAAGTGCCAGAGATAGCACTCGTCGTTAGCTACAAGTCACCTCCACATCGCTTGTTCTTGCCATTGCTCTTGCCATTTCCTTGCCTCTCGCTGCTGCAACACGTGCACTCTCACCTGAGTTCCAACTCTTTCTAGTCTTTCCGCCTTGAATGAAAAAGACTTCAGCGCCAGCTGCCGCCGCATTGGACCCATGCTGTCGCACAAGTCTCGGGTGCCTCAGACACTTCAGCCGGCAAGGTGACCACCAGCATCGACAGAAGCAACAGCCCGGCCATGTTCTGAGAGTCTGAAGATTGAGATCCTCATGGACACGAAGGCAAGAGGGCAGTGCGGCCTGCGCCTTCGAGCCATCGGTATGCCTGCACGAACATACTGCCAATGATTGGTCACCACCTCCCCCACAAGGCTGCAGATTGTGCCCAAAAGCCCTAATCTCTCCACAACCAAAACCAAGCGGCAACAAACAAAGTCTTTTTCGCCCCCAGGAATACATTCCTAATCATTCCTAACTCCCAAACCCTCAACCCACCGCACCCACAGATAAAAGCGTAAAGCGAATAAGACCTAAAGACACCTAAAGGGTCCAAAAAGGCGCGTCAACCTTGAACCCGAAACCCAAACCCCNNCCCCCCCCCCCCCCCCCGGGCCCACCGGCCCGACCCGAGCCTGAGCGGCGATCAGCGGCGTTGCCTCGAGCAGAATCCGAAGAGGCGTCCCGGCCGCGATGCCCCCCAAGCTCAGCCTCGGCTAGGACACAAGGAGGGATTCTGGGTTCTCTTCTTAGGGCTTTGAAGAAGATCTAGAAGGGCTCTATGAAGGTTTCTAACTACAAGCGCTCAATGAGATGCAGGGGCTGTTCACTGAAAGACTTTCGGTGTCGGTAGCAGATCCTCGATCCTCAAGATTCCTCAAGGCTTCTGGGCCTTCCATCGGAGAGCCGAAGCCGGAAACCAAAAACCTAAGAAAGCCAAATTCCAGAAATGTCGAGACTCCAGACACAGGAACTGCAGTGGTTGGAATAGCGCTTCGGCATCATGTAGGGATAGTGTGGTGCAACCGTGCGCGTATGCGTTGGAGGCTCTTCGATTTCATCCTCAACCCTACAGCCTCAAAGCCCTAGACCCTAGACCCGAACTCCTAGACCCTGAAGCCCAGACCAAGAATCGCCTAGGAGCTTCATCCCCTGGCGGTGGGCGAAGCCTCCATCCTCCGGCAGGAGGCCCTCTGCCGCATCGGCGCAGGGCTGCGTCTCCTCGGGCTTCGGAGCTCGAGGAGACTGGAGCTTCGGAGTTTGAAGGGTAGGTGTTCGGTGGCTTCAAGGAGGGTGCTTTCTGTTTGGTGCTTTGGGGCTCCATAGCTTTGAGTCTACTCGAGGTTTGGGGTTCTCAACAACAACCCTGGAAATGTCTTGAAGCATGCGTGGCCTTGTTCAGGGATCGCTTGCTGATTATGTAGGATGCTGACAGGCGGCCACGACTGCTGCGGGCACTGCTGCTGGTGCTACTCCCATCGCCACCGGCACCGCCACTATACCACCACTACTGCCACTACCGCTATCTGGAATAAGAAAGGCCAGCCACAGCCCCAAGCTTCAACACCTGATCATAAGGCAAGACTCGTAGACGTGCGGAAAGCAAGGCTCGTTGGAGGGCTCGGGAACCTCACCTGGGCCCGGGGAGTATAAGTCTTGTCGCGAAGGCCTGAGAGCCTTGTGGTTGTATGTTCAGGGCTCAGGGTGTAGTGTAGGGGTTGGACGTGCAGGGCTTTTAGATTTGCGGTGCTGGGATTGTGTCTAGAAATCATGTTAATTGTCAGCAGGATGATATAATTCATTATAACACTGCTTACTGCGAAACACAGTCCGGATGATTATGGTACGGATGGGGAAAAGCAGCCCAACAAAGAGGTCCGGAACCATTTGCCTTGGCTCCTACAACCACCATGTACCGCCGGCTGCTCCAAATTGGGGTTGCGTCACAAATATACCTATTTCAAAAACGCTGCTGTGGACCTTACACAAACTTCAACAATCCGTTTCGCTGATCGGGATCTTCGAAGGGGACACATCATATTACAGCCCTGAGCCCTAAACCGGCCCTAAACCTCATAATCAGCGAATTGTGCACCCTTCAGGTCCCTTTATGGCTTCCGAGTCACAAGGAGCCGGTATCGGTGCCCCAGAGGACACTCCAGTGCCTTGGATGTAGCAGGAGAACGGGTGCAGCAGGATTCCCGGAGGCGCGCGGATCCAGACCTGAACTGCCGTTCGGGGCAAAGCCTTGCAAACTCCTAGCATGCAATATACTAATACTATTATTACAATGTAATATAGCAATAGTACAAGGGATATTCGTAGTGGTATCTTGTTATGTAACTAGCATGTGATACTTACTACGATTATCACACACACACACATTGTCGACTTAAGATGACCGACAGTAAATATGTGTTCATGCTTGGCTCAGAGTTCGAGGGCTGGGGCTTACTCTAGGTTTCGGCTGAAGCATAGACGTCGGAAATCCCAGGACTCGAAGACGTCATACGAGAGGCCGTCCAGCCTAAAGCCCAAACCCACACACGTTAAACTCTCCAAGCCCCAAAAGCCCCAGCTTCTAATCCCTTGGCTAGGCCGTACTGTGGGATGGGTTCATCACCGAGGGGTTCTTACGTACGAAAGAATTCAGCCCTCACAAGCTTCGCCTCATAGCCCATCTATCCAAACTCATGCTGTCCCCCCAGACTCCCTTGATAACTGTACTGTAGACTATACTGTCACGAAGCCCACAACCCTAAATTTATCAGTGCACCGATAGTATATGATTTGTATGACACTACGGGGATCGTTTAAATTTAGGAGGTGTTTTCAACGCTTCGGGGAAGGACCCCTCACCTCGTCTCCAGGAGCAATCTCCGGTCCAACGAACTCCACGCGAACCTCCGGGCTTCGGGCTCTTTGGCCGAAGGCTTCGTGGGCTGCTACGGTTCAGGGCTTGGGGCTTAAGGTTACCGGTGTCGCTGCTGCTTTGGGAGTTTCGAGGTTGAGGGCTCGAGGAGTTGACTGGTTGACTCTACCAGCGGGGGGGATGGTGGAGATGTATTGAAACGAACGCCTGCGTGGCGCTTCTTCTCGGAAACAAACACGGACTTAACTCATAGGTGCGACCTGATTGTGAGCAACTTCCGAGGCTATGTTTTTTCAAACCTCTTCTCCACGGAAGCCGTGCATAACCATCCTGCGTCCTTTCGATTGGCCTCATGCCAATGCCCATGACTGCAAGGTTTGCTGTGTGTCCTGTAACAGGCTCTGTCCTTGTCATCTGCGAATTTCAGGTTGCTGCGGCTGTAGTTGTTGCCCTTGCCCCCCTTTCCAGGAGCCCCCCCGGCCCGAGCCTGGCTCCGTGCGCCCTGCGCTGGGTTCTGGCAGGTCACGGAGAGCTCCGCCAGCCACCCGCGCCAGCGCCACTGCGACACGGAGAGGGAGCCCACCACGAAGCCCGGGAGGGAGGCCAAAGCGCCGAAGCTGCTGGCCTGCGTCTCCTGGCGCAGCTCTCTTTGAAAAGCTTCTCCGAAGGCTTAAAACCCGGAAGCCTCAAACCACGGCCCTAGAGATCCAAGCCGGTATAGGCCTCTCCTGGGAAGCTTGCGTCTGGGTGCCGGCGAAGAGCTGGACCGTCCAGCTTCGCCGGAAGAACGGAAGCTCCTCAACTACTGCGGAAAGACTCAGATTTTGCTTGAGAAACCCTTGTCAGGAATACTATACCCTATACCGTTACCTCATAGGTTTTGTGTCTCTCGCCAGCTCTTTGTTTGGGTAAACTCCTGGGCATCGGCCAACACGCGGAGGTGGTAGGGGCGGCTCGCGGACCACGGCGAGGAGAGGCTCCAAAGCACCAGCCGGAAGCTCCTCCGGCAGTCGGGCAAGCTAAGGGTGAGGGTTTTAGGTCATAGGGCTTACAGGTTACCGTAGGGCATCGTGGGGCTTAGATGGTTTGGCATAGGGGGTTAGGATTCAACAACACCGAATGAAAGAATCAGCTGTAAGTGACCCTGGGCTCCTCCACCCAGTGGGAGCGCCCTCTGTCTGGCAGCTGGTGCCTTGAGGCAGCGTCTGGGCGGCAAGTGCCTGCGGGCTCTCGCAAAGCGCACTCACGTAGGGCGGAGGGTACAGCACCAGCGCACCCGCCCTTACCTTGGTCGCTCAGGAGCTTGCTTGGGGATGCTTTTTACTTTTAGAAGCTCGGTGTCCACTACCTTCTCTGGAAGGCCAAACAAGGGTTCTGCATAATCTCGACCACGTCACCGCTACTGCGAGGGTGAAGTCCACGTCCACAGGATAGGCCTCGCCCGCCGGAGATGTCAGCGGCGGGGGCGTGAAGGCCATGGAGCCCAGGAGGCGGCGGACCTGAAACCTCGGCTTCCACATGCTTCCGCTGGGAGTCCGGACCCCAGAAACCCTAAGCACTCAACCATCAAGCCCTTCGAGGAAGCCCTTAAACACCGGAAATCCTGTGGGTTTATCCTAGAGCCTCAAACATCCTTGAACGTTGCTCCAAAAGTCCAAGCAACGTGGGGATGGGCCGGGAGGTGTCGATGCTCTCACCATCCGGCAGCCGCGTCTTCACTGCCCAGGTGGCCGAGGTATCGGAGCTTGGGCCCCCGGTCTGGAGACCCAAGGCCAGCCTCAGAGTTTATAGGGGCTTTAAGGAGCCTTCAGGGCTAACAAACAAAGAAAGAAGCTCCAGCGATGAGGGTTCTAGGGGCTTTACCAAATCAAAGGCTGGAAGGGCCCCATGAAGCCGATCCTCGAATTCAGGAACCAGGAGCAGGTAGGCCGCGTTGCTGGACAAAGGGCTCGTCAAGGGACCTGTGGCAAAAACGAGCTGTCTGCCCTTTTGTCCAAACAGCTGCCTTAACGATTTTGGACATGCCAAGCCTAGAACGAAGCCGTGCGGCTGCCCCGGCAACTCAGCCCGTTGCACCACGCAGGGCGTCCCCTGCGCGACGGCATTGCCTCCCAACTCGTTCGTCTGTGCGTCGTAGAGGCCACCGGAACAGTCCGCATCGAATTCGGCGGGCACTTCAACATAAACAGAGCCGGAGGCTGGTACCTGCGAAGCCGTCCGGAAGTGGATCATGCAGAACCCCGCGCTGCTTTCGTGCACATTGCCCGGCAGGATCTGCACCTGAGGCCAGAGGTACAGAGACAAGCGTCTCAAAACGAAAGGGAGCAGCCAAGCATCCCTGCCTCTGTCAGGGTCCGAAGCGCAGGCCCCTCCAGGCCACCCACGGCGGCCGACTCCACTTGCAACTGCCACCGCGAGTCTTGGGAGGAGTATTCAAAGTCTGCTGGGGGATTCTGAACGGTGATGCTCCTGGGCGATGTTTGGCACCGGACTCACTTCAACGAAACTGCCCCTGCTTTGCCTGGACCTACAAAGCCTTGCTGAAGCCTTTCCAGAATCATCCGGTACGTCACCAGCGGGCTTATGAGGCTCTTCAAGGTAGCGGTGAAGATCCGGCCGGACCCAATGCAAGCGACGAAGTCCGGCAGCTTGGCTGCCGTGCTCCCTGTGGCACCCAAGCTGCTGGCGCTGCTGCTAACGCCTTCACAGAGGGCCCAGACTCTCGAACCGATACCCCTACCCTTACTTAACTCTAGGCCTCTAGGCCCCCAAACCCTGAAAGACACTGCAGCCCTCAACGCTAGCAGCCTGGACTCCAAAACCCTGACTGAAGCCGCCTGACAGGCAGTCTGGTGGCGCTCGGAAACCAGGTGGCAACGTGATCTGCACCTGGAGTGCAATTTGCTCGGGAAACTGGCTTCTGGGTATTGTGATCGTCGTGACAAAGGCTGTGTAAGGATTTATGCGTGAATGGTTCCGGTTGCAGCAAGTTTTCAGCCTGCCCAAGTGAAGTCACCAAAAAGTCGTAGCAAACGGAACTCTCCACCATGTCTTCAAGCCGGCATTTGATGTTTTGAGGATCAACCGAGCACTCGTGTGACACAGACTTGCTACTGGAACAGAGAACGGTAGCAAGATGAGTATACTTTTGATACGATATAAATAAACCAATAAACAAATAAACAAATGAATAAATACATGTATATATATATATGTGTGTATATTATTTTTGCTACACCGCCCAGGGGTGCGCGCACCTCGCTCCGCGTCACGAGGCCGGAGCCGACCTGGGCCGCTTCGTCGGCAGTGCGCTCCGGGTAGGCGAAGAAGAACTCGTAGACGCCGAGCGAGCCTTAATTGGGGTTCTAAGTTTGGTGAACTCGCGAAAGAAGTGTGAGTTCACATGAGCTCTAAGATGGGGAACTCTGGGATTCAGTTCGGACTCACAGTCGCAAGTTCTGGGATTGGTTTCCATCGACGTAGCAGGCCTTGGCAGCTTCTTCTACTAGTGCTTGAACATGTAACACTAGCCACTACTCAATACCGCTGCTATTACCGCTCTCTCTATTGTCATGAACTAACAGAACTTGATTCTTCAGAATCTTGGTGCTGCGTGCGCTCCAACGCCCATCCGCCACCCTGCAAGGCCTCCGAGACCCTACGCTCCCTGAGCCCGAAATAATAGTATAGGATATAGCTGAAATATTATGTATGTATATATATATATGTATATATATATATATATAGTTCTGGTGGTCAAGGCGAAACGGCGAAGGATCGCAGCCGAGGGGCCGGGGCGGAGATCTTGCCCTGTGGCGCTTCTCGCCACCAGGGCCTCTCTGAAACGGTCCATAGCGTTGATGATATAAATCCTGCATGACCTTTGAGGCCCCTAAAACTATGGGAATTATGGTATATTGCTGATTATGGGTAATGCAGGATTTATATCATCAACCGTACCAGCCGCAAGAGAAAGAATGTAACGGGCAACAGGACAGAAACAGCTGCAATAATAAACATGCGAAGCTGAATCATAGCACCAGCAACAGCAGAAGCAGCACCGGCCTCCAGCGACAACGACAAAAGCAAGGATCAACACACAGTTACAGCAACAAGCAGCTACCAACCAACAGCCAACACTCAACAGCCAGCATCGCAGAAAACTCAGTCAGGATGTTTGTGGGGGGCTGCGATGTAGAGGTCGACTTCAGGGCGGATGGTTCAGGGTTTGGGCCTTTGCCCAAACTAGCGCAAACGGCTCTCAGCTTGAAGTTGGACGAACACATGCCAGAGAAAATTATTACCTATAGGTGTACGTAAACAGCAATACATGACGAGTGAGGGTACACGCACATGTACATCTACACACGCAGATACACATGTGTGTGTATGAACGCATGCATATACACAAGCATACAGTATATGCACATGTAAACAATTACTGCGCTACATGCACATACGAAACCTATAAAACATGCATACATCATACATATACTCATATACATATGAGTGTGTGCGTACGCATGTGCGTATACACACAGACCTTCCAAAGCGCAAGGGGTTTACTGTGTTCTATCTCTTCGTCAGGATGAGCAGGTCCTGGTTCAAGGGCTGCAGAAGCTGGAACGTCGGAACTGTTTTCTCACACTCTTCAAGCCTTGGCGTGGTTGAGGTTCAGGCTTGAACCTAGGGTTTATAGGGCATATTGTGGCTTTGGGTGCCCGGTCACCAATAGACTGGGCCGGTATATTTTGACTAGATAAAGGGTTTGGGTTCTAGCCATAGGCTCGGCTCTCGGATTGCAGGGCGTGGGATGACGGGCTGAACCGCCCCTTTGGCGTCGGGGCTGCTGCAAGCCGTTTCGTGGGGGCTCATCATCTTTGGAAACCGTGGTGGCAAGACAGCACCACTACCGCTTAGAACCAAATCCAATGGCAACAAGGCGAGTTGCTCTGAAATGGAGGCCCTTAGGACTACACCAGGTATCTAGAACGGTACCTTTCCGGGCGCTCTGTATACTACAACAGAATAAGACAACGAACACCTCGAAGGGAGACTCCCGCCCACTCAGCTGGAGAAGGAGCATGTAGGCCATAACGCTGCCGCCCCAAAGCATTGAAAGGACATGCAGCCACGCTACATCCTACGCCCCAACCCCTCCAGAACGCAAAGCCTAGATTGATTAAGGCTCCACATCCTCATCCCTCAGCTGAACACAAGGACTGGAGTTGGAGTTTAGAGCTGAACCCCAATCGGCCCTCCCCAAATCCAACAAACCTCTCCCCACGACCCCGGCCCAGGCAATTCAGATGCCCAGCCGCTTGGCGAAGCCCTGGAAAGTCGCAACATTCCACCGCGTCTCCGAAGGAGGCTGGGCCGGGTTCACGAGCTCGATGCGCAAGCGAACCTGCGTGCAGGCTTTCGGGGCTTCGGGCGGTAATTAAGGCAGGCAATGTGCAGAGTTTGAGAGCAACATCAGCACGATCGGCGACACCAATATTGTCTGGACCGCCGCTCAATGTCCTGACAAGCAATTGCAACCTCACCAACATCACCATTATCACCATCACCAGGAAACCTGGCTTCCGCGTGGTACCGCCGTCGCCCTGGCGAGACGGATCACGGCCGTGTTCACGAAGCCCTCACCTGAGCTGTGTCAGTTCTGAAGTAGTAGGAGGAGCTTTGTTGCCGTGATGTTTGGTGATGTTGCTAGTGATAGCGACATGGATGCTTGGGAGGTTCCCGTTTGCAAGTGAACCTCAGGCTCAAAAGGTCCCATCACTGAGTTCTTCGACCCGAAGACCTACCACTTAGTAAACAACCTCAGGGACTGATCTAGGAAGTACAACTATGAGTTTATTCTTTTATCTCGGGCCCACTATGGGCTACCAAGCCGATCCTCCAACACCCCCTAGAGAGGGTCCACGGAGTTCAGAGCAGAATTCACGGGCTGCCGCTTTTAGCTGCGAAAGAAAATCCCGCGGGGTCCGCGTGAGGGGCTCTGAATCTTTGAGTGAAGGTTTGGGGCTGAGGTGTTCATGCTCTTCGGGCTTAGCGGATCTGGGGACACGGGATGATGTGGATTTGCCCCCGGCGACAGCTGTAGGCAAGCCCCAGCCGGCTTCGGAGTTTCGGGGTAAGCCATCAGAGACCCGCAAACTCCCCGGTCCGAAGCCCAGTTTTGGCGGCCCAGGCGCAGGAGGTGTAGGACAGAGAAGTGATGACCCGGGTCGAAACCTCCTCCAGCGATGGAATGGCATCCTCCACCTGCTGCTAGGCCTTACTACAACTATATAGGCATATCAAGGGTTTAGGGTTTAGGGTTTACAGGCTTCAGAGTTCGGGGCCCTGAGGCTTTTCTTATGTGGGCTGGCGTGGTTCTGGGAGGCTGGTAGCTTCAGGTTTGGTATTATTTATCCTTGGGTTTGGGGCTTCAGGTCAGCCCCAAACAACCCCGAAGCTTGGGGCTCGGCTGGGCTTAGGGTTTTAAGCACTCTGACGCGGAGCAGAACGTACTATGCATCCCTATCATGACAACTCGAACAACATTACTGTGATATTCTGATTCTTAAGACCCTCGTAGTAGCCTTGATAAGGACCCAATCAGGGTCTTCCGACCTGGCAGACCGTCGGGAAGCTGAAGCCGAGCGGAGCTATGACGTGGACGCTTCCCACAGAAGTGTCGCTGGTGTAGATGCTACTGGCCACGAGGAAGGAGACGGTGACCTGCGGTAGAAGAAGGGCTTCAGGGCTGAAGGGTTCAGGGTTTCTCGTTCAGAGTGGTATGGAGGAGGGCCTCAAGTTTTGGAGCCAAGTCAAGGCACCTGATTCTGCGCGAGGAAGACCGGGGAGGAGGCCGCCACGTCGCAGGCGCGGAGGACTTCCAGGGGCGCGCCCTCGAAGCTGCCGGCCTCGAAGAGAAACGGGAAAGGGTTTGAGGGTCTTTGGGCTGGTTTTCATTCCTTGGTAAACTTTCTCACGGTGTTGTGGATTTTTAGGGTGTAGGGGCTTTGGCTGTGACGAAAGCCTCTGCGCGGCCAGCTAGGCTCGTGAGGCCGGACGCTAGGATCACCTGAACCGTCCAACGGTTCGCTGTCCTGGGCTCAGGTATCACACACACACACACAGGCGACCATTATAATCCTGCATATGTATGCATGCATATGTACATATGATGCATACCAACTAATCTGAACACTCTTGTTAAGTGACTTGCTTGTATGCTCTGCCACGCTCTATATGCGAACTACTGTGACCACACAAGCAATTGCCTGCTTGCGTGAATGAACAAGGGAAACTATCTACATTCACAGGCATGCACGCATGCATGCATTCATTCGCACGTGCATAATGTCGAAGCCCAGCCTTGCCGTTGGCCCTAAGGTCAAGTGGGCGTCGGCGCTCAGGGACTGAGGCATCTTTCAGGCCCCTTTTGTATACGGGATAGGGGGAACACAGCGCCGCAACCCCAAAAGGCCCTAACCCCTAGCTCCTAAACCCCCCCAAAAAAAAAAAGCCCACAGCCCCACGCAGTAGCCCCACTCCTAAACCCAACAGACTCCTCCCTAAACCGCCAAACCCCCCAAAGCCCCCAGACCCAGGTATACGTCCTACTTCCTCAACGCCAGGCCCTCGAACCCCTAAACCCTCAAGCCTCCGAGTCTCGGCTCCTCCTGAGAGCTGGGCGACACCAGGGCATTCTGGATCCTTGGCTCAGGGCCCCCGGGCTTGTTTGGGTTTTCAGGACTTTGGGGGTTTCAAGGGTCTGGGCGTTTTGGGGAGGAGTTATAGGGTTTAAGGTTTCGTGGGGGGGGGGGGATCCGGGCCGAGAGGTTTGGCGGGGTTTCCGGTGGATTTTGGGATATTTTGGGACCTCCGGTTTGTCTTTCGGCTCTCGAACTTCAAAGACCGCGCCTTCCTAGCTGAGGAGGGGAGCTTTCGTGAGAGTGGGGGGGCATCTAGGTAGAATAGAGGAGTTGGGATATACGTTTGTATGTCATAGTTCTGCTAAGGACCCCGAAGGAATGGCGTCTCAATTGCTCAGCCCCTACTTTTGTTGCAAGGTGTCTTGCATGCCAGATTTGCCCGATCAGAGCTTCGGGATCTGAAATCGAAGCCTCTGCCTCGAAAGGTCCCAGAAGGCTTTGTTGTTTTAGGTTAGGTTCGTTTCTATCTATATATATATATATTTATTTATTTATTTATACATATAGATATATATATATATATATCTATCTATCTATCCATCTATCTATCTATCTATCTGTCCATCTAAACAACTCAAACCTTCAAAACGAGAGAAGAATGGTGACAAGATGCTTCGCCCGGAACCCATAGAGCACTCCTTCAAGGGCATTGTCGGTGATGGGCAGCATGACCTGAGGGTGTGGCCCTCCGCCACATGCCTCAAAATCGCTACACCCTGAACTCGAGCCCCCGCAACGCTAAGCACGCAAGCTCCGCGACCCTACGTCGTGCATCCTAGTTGGGCTTTAAGCAAGCACGGAGAAAAAGACACTCTCCCATCTGGGAAGTAGCTGACTTCAGAGAAAACTCAACCAGCAGCTGTCACACAAAGGCTGAACCCGAAACCCGTAGTCCCAATATTACTTTGCTATATGAAGTGGAAACCCTATATTCCTAGGCCAACTGCGGGTCGATCCTCGTGTGGTCGCGCGCTGTTGATCACCGGCACACCAATGGGAAGCGTCTTTTCTACACTGTTCGACTCTGCATCGACATCGATGTTCCTTGCCAGTCAGTGCTTAGGATTTCGAGCTTTGGGTTTGGGAATTTCAGTTTGCCACTCAGGGTTGCATGCGGAGTTGACAGTTCTGGATTGAGGGCGTGGCTGTTGCACACAATGCTGCAACGTCAGCTGAGGCATCTAGGCCCACTTCCTTTTTGCGGAACTGTTTCGTTGAGCGTTTGGCTGCAGAGCCTCCAACTCTTTCTCCGCAAAACATAGGTGGCATGCTTTGGAAAAAGCCTTCAGTTGCTGCTCTGCTTCCGCATAGGTTCGTCTGGGATCGTCATCAACTAGCCACAGGAGCTTCAGGTCAGAAATCAGTGTCTCCTGGAATTGGGCATGACCCTCCGCAATGTGGAGGGCTCTGACCAGCAGGGACAACCACTTCTGACGCTGAGGCTTCGTCAGTGCGCGCAGAACGTTGGTAAGATGCTCTCCACACTGCATTGCCTGCTCCAAGGCATCTTCGCTGATTTCGGCGGACTCTGGCAGCAGGTCTTCCATCTGGTCAAGCATGGTTTCGGCAATCAACTGCTTCACGAAAGGCGGGCCGCCAAACCCGTAGCATTTAATACGAGTGTGCGCGTGAAACCTCAGATCAAAGCCAGTCGTCGCAGCAGTGCACCAACAGAGACCGAAGGTTCGCGCTGACGATGTCGATGACATCATGTTCCGGGAAATGAGCTTTGTCCGCGAACGCCAGCCACAGCCAAGAGACACTGGAAGAACTTCCGTCGCAGGCCATCTTCTTCTAAACAGCGCTCGAAAGAGAAGTGATCGTAAGCATTGTGGTCCCACCGGGACCTGCGCGGTGTAATTCATGTGCACGACTCCTTGCGTGCGAACCGGGCCGCGCCTGTCCAACCTGCCCATTTCGGACAGGTGCTGTCTCAAGACCTCAGGTTGCGTGACAACGCACATCCTGCTGCTATGCAATAGATTACCCAACGGTGGACAGAGGCAGAAGTGCACAAAGCCCCCTGCTCTGGGACGTCTGGTCTGGCGGGAAGTCGCTCGCCACGCCATGAGGTCATCCACCTTCGGGCAGGTGCGGGTGCCCGGCTTCTCCCACACCGTCGCAAGCCGCCACTGTTACAGACAGGGCGCAGAGAGGTACGGCAAGAGATTGAGCCTCAAGACTTGCTCGAGGAGCCCATCCCATGTGCTCATCCTGAATTCTATGCTGGATGCCAAGTTGCACCACTTCCTGTGGAAGCTCGAACGGGCTAAAGACCTGGACAGCCCCCAAAATGAAAGTCGTTTCAGTGGCCAGCTGGTCTCTGGGCTTCCACGCATCCAGAAAGGCTGGGGGTTCACGGACATTCTCCCGGGGCCTCAGCTTTTACATCGAACAACCCAGTCTCCAACTCCAAGATCTTGAGCATTGCCGTGGCTGAGAGAGAGGGAGGCCGTTTTGTCGCACTTTATCTGCCTCGGGTCATATTACTGTAGGGGCATGCCAAAGACACGAGATGAGAAGGTTACTTACAATAAACTCAAGCGGCTGAAGAATAGAGCTTGCATTTGTCGGCATCGTCATGGGAGAAAAATTCAGTGACCTCAGGCCAAGATGTCACATGAGAAGAGTCGAATCGCATCGAAAGCTCTGAGAACAGTGCTCACCGCTCTCCGTGGCAATGCCAACCAAGGCAGCATGCGGCAATGATGGCTGCTGATTGCGATCTGAACTCTCGCCGCACCTTGCGGCAGGTTTCAGGTAGCTGAAGGAGGTAAAGAAGACAAATAGTGCAGAACATTTTCTTTGCAACTCGGCGGCTGCTCTTCCAAGTCATCCTCCGATGACGACAAACGGTGCTGAACATATTCTTGCAACTCGGCGGCTGCTCTGCCAAGCAATCCTCCGATGAGCCCGACCGGGTGGAAGCGGAGCCCCAGCTCTTGCGCTTTAGCCTTCTGCTGCGATGGCTTGGGCAAAGCAAAACTCCAGGCGAGCAGACAACAATCGATAAGCTCAAGCGGCTGCGGACCAAGGCTTGCATCTGACGGCGTCATTTTCGGAAATCCGAGCAGTGACCTCAGGCCAAGGACGCTGCTGCAGCTGTCAAAGTTTGCCGTGAGTCAAGGCTAGGGCATCTGACTAGGAGCCATGGGAAGAGTCAAATCGCATCGTAAGCTCTGAGAACAGTGCTGACCATTGTCCGTGGCAATGTACACCAAGGCATCATGCGGAAATGCTGACGGCTGTGGATGCTCATTGCGGTCTGAAATTGTGCCGCACCTTTCTCCGTTCGTCGGCGGAGCAGTAGAACATAGCAGAAGTCCAAGCTAGCAGACAACTAAAGCAAACTGCCTGGACGAGGCATCGCCTTGCACATCCAACTGCTCAGAGAGCTCCACCGCCAGCTGCTCCACAAAAAGGAGCTGGGCACGGTGTGGGAATTGCCTCAGACGCAAGCTGAAACATCACCGCATCATGGTCTTGAATGTCTTGCAAAGCATCCCTAGTGTGCCAGGGCGCGCCCAGGTCTCCAGCTGCTGCAGGACGCTGGAGCGATGGCACGTCTCCGGTGACGTTTTGCACATATTTTGGAAAGGGATGCTTTGTTAGGACTGCAGGCGAGTGGACATGGGGCAACATGGGATTGTCGTGCATACAATGTGCGAATGTGCAGACTTTTGTTGACCAGCGCGAGCTGTGTGTGCTGCATAAGCCAGCTGCGGCAGTCAACACCGTTAAATGGCAGCAAGGATTCATGCAATCAATTGGAAACTCTGTTCGTGCTTCGTACGGCTGTACCTGGGTCGCCCCTAGACTCCGAGAAAACCTAAACGTCCCGAAGGCCGGCCGAGGCGCGACACGAAGAGATAGCCTGGTGGGCCCATTATGGACATCTCACCTGAGTGCTTCTAGACGGCGTCACCAAAGACAAGACAAGTGTAAGGAATCTCGGCATCCGTCCTACCGTCCAGTTTTCTAATAGACACGACACATCGAAGTTCCAGGCACGTCCCCGATGCCGCCTGGTCCGTTCCGAAGGCCCTACATCCTAAGCCCGAAGAGCGCCGGCAGCCCAGCCACTGCCTCCCCAGATGCGGCCCGTCAGCCGGTAGGCCAAGCTCACAAATGCCTCCGCCCCGGGACCGAAGCCGCTGAACTGGAAGCTCTGCACCTGAAAACAGGAGGGGCGAGTTTCGGAGAATCAGGTTCCATAGCCGACATAGCGGAATCCTTATGATAAGGACCTCGACATGAACAACAATCATCGTCACTGTCACCATGGACCATAATCATCCTGATCATCCTCAGCCTGGTCAACCCCATCACCATCACCCTCATCAGCCTCAACATCCCATCCTCATCATCTTCATCATCTGACTACCAGCATCATCACCATCATCATCATCAAAACACCATCTTCATCAGTACTAGTGCTGACTTCTTACCATCACCATCATCACCAACACCATTATCGCCGCCATCATCAGCCTCACTATGATCGTCAGTCGTAATGCAAAGAGGAAGAGGAAGAAAAACAAGACCCTTCATCCATAACCGCGACTGAGACTCAAAGATGATCGCGCAAATACAGTGGAACTACGATAATAATTGGAGCACCAGCATATTTGAGAATAAAACCATAAGAATTACGATACTCACACCCATGACCAGGACGATGATGGTCGTGATGATAATGATGATGATGGTGGTGATGATGATGATGATAATGATGGTGTTGGTGGTGCCTGTGACTGTGGTAGTGGTGGCTGTCGTGGTGCTGGTGGGCCGGTGGTGTTGGTGGTGGTGGTGGTGGTGGTGGCGGCGGCGGCGGTGGCGGCGGTGGTGGTGGTGGTGGTGGCGGTGGTGGTGGGGGTGGCGGTGGTGGTGGGGGTGGCGGTGGTGGTGGCGGTGGCGGTGGCGGTGGCGGTGGCGGTGGCGGTGGCGGT